GCTTTTCAGTTCCCTTTATCGTGAATATCAGAACAATTTCCTGTTAAGCAACAACATTTTGAGTTTTTGTTTCAGAGGTTTTATACCAACATCCAAGGACAAATTCTTCAGCTGACTACATCTGAGAACAGAGTCTCCAATTGATATATTTCATGTGTATTTTACCACGATTTAAAATAAAAATTGAAATAGCAGAAACATAAAAAGAGAATACAAAATTATGCACATAGTATGCCTGTGCCTATGTAAAGTAATCATATATAGCAAAATAGTACTAGTTGTGTGGTATGGTGTAAAGGTACTCTTCCCTTTTTTTTTTTTTTTTTTTTTTTTTTTTTTTTTTCAATTCCTGATTTCCTTTTTGGTTCCGATATTGATTGATCTTTTATTTTGTTTTGTTTTTTAAAGAGGGCATATTCATCTCTTTAACAGTCCGGGACAGGCTGTCAACAGCATGGCAAGTGGCAAGCTATCTTGGCACCACAGTAGACAGGTTAGAGAGGACAGATGTCTTTAGACATGCTGATGTGGAGCCTCTAGGTTTTTTTCTCAGCCTAAATGGGGAAACTCAGAGTCTTGGGACTGGGAAGGGGAAGAGGCTCCAGAAAACAGGGAAGGGACAGGCCCAGCCTTGATATGACTGTGTACTAAAGGGAAAAGCTCAGACATGCCCCCTAGCTAGCCTGCAGCTTCCTTTGTAGCCAGGCTGTCCTTAAACTTGCTCTCCTCCTACCTCCGCCTCCCAAATGCTGCATTACAGGTATGTGCCATCATGCTCAACCTATCATATGTTTTCTAGAATGTTTCTGTCTCTATTGCTACCAGATGAGAACGCCTCTCCAGGCTCAGGTCCACAAACATTAATCTACCACCAACTATGAATCAGGCCCCAGACAGACCTCTACTAATGACTGTATCTACAGGACTCCATGGACACACTTGTTACTAAAATTCCTTCCCTAGATAGAGGCATAAACAGCATCTATCCCCCTCCTCCCATGGTCCCAGTGACGGCGTTACTCCACTGATGTCCACAGTGGGGAACGATTGAGTTTACTTACAGAGCAATGGGTGAGAGTTTACAGGCAGGAACATGGATGACAGGTAAAGCAGCCCATAGAAGATTTGCACCCAGCAGGGATGACGACTTCCCTACAGCCTCACAGAGAGAACTCCTCCCCTCGCCCTTCCCTGTGTATATGCTCTAGCCCTTTCCCCAGAACCAGAGGCAAGCCCGCGTGCAATTAGGACAAAACTGCAGACAACTGGGTAGGAGGGGCAGCTGGAAATTTAGGTGAAGGTGTCATGATTCTCCCGGCCCTATCTTCCAAGAGAACCAATAGCAACAAGCCCAGCAGAGATGATCTTTGGCAAACAGCCCCAGCTGAACTTGTAAGGATTGCTGCAGTTTGACTGGGAGGATAGTTCTCTACACCACTTGTTCAAATTGTGGGTAAATAGACTTTGTGGGGCTTGTTAAAATCTTCAGGGTGGGGCAGGGGTCAAGTGCTTTGCATGTAGGAGTTTGAAACCCAGAACCCACATAAAATCAGGTGCAGCTCGTGTCTGTAATCCCAGCGTGCGTAAGGTAAAATGGAATGAGAGACAGGAGAATTCCTGGAAGTTCAAGGGCCTGATGGGTAGCCAGGTGCACATAGCAACAAACAAGGAGACCCTGTCCTCAACAGGTGAGGGAGGACACAAATGCCAGAGACCATCATCTGATACACACACACACCATGGCACACATGCATCCATACTTATATATGCAAATGCTTACACACACACACACACAGAGAGAGAGAGAGAGGGAGGGAGGGAGGGAGGGAGGGAGAGCTTTGGGGCATCTTCTATGAGTAAAGTGTATGAGTTCTGGTGATAGCTCTTAGGAACATCTTTAATTCCTAGGAAACATTACCAACAGATGTTAGAAATACAGCTGGTCAACACCACCTCCCTCATCTGCAGTGTGGTGGTGGGAATGAGGGAAAGATGACCTCCCTCTTGCCTCTACCACCTCCAGCTGGCGAAGGAACTGACCCTTCTACTAGATGGACACTCGGGAAAGTAGGCCCTACACTTCATCTAGGTAGCACAGTGGACCTGACCCTGTTGAGGAAGGTATAGGTGAACCAACTCCAAGAATGTGAGTGGGAACCCTAACCCCACCCTTCATCTGCCATAAGGTGGATGGATGAGGGAAGAGATGCCCCCATCGATGCCTGAGGCAGGTGGGAAAGCTGGTCGTGAGGTCAGGAGAGCAGGAAAGCTGGCCTCGCCCCTCATCAGCTGCAGCACTCAGCAGAGGGCTCCCTGCACCTGGCCTGGGCAGCACAGTAGAGCTGGCCCAGAAGGTGTGGGTGTGGGTGTGGGACAGCTGACCCTGAGGATGTAAAGTGGAAAACAGTGACCCCACCCCTTGCTCATCTCTGCAAGATATGACATAGCCAGGGAAATGCTGGAGAGCTCCCCCTGGTGGAGAAGACTGGGGAGAGCTGGTGGGCTGACCAACCCTGCAACTACCCAGTTCCAGGGTTATGTGCTGGCCCACCCCTACATCTACACCATCTGTGATCTCCTGGAGCATGGTGTGTGTGGGGGGGTCCATCCATCAGACTCAGGGCAACAAGTGGGTGTCCATGAAAAGTCCCAGTGAGGGTCCACATCAAAGGTATGGCAGAGACCAGGGGCATTGAACCAGACCAATGATTCTTTGGGATGAATGCCTGCATCTGAAAATGTGTGGATGAAGGGGTTCACTTTGTGACTCACTGTGTCACACTGCAGCTTCCACGACAAGATTCTCCCCTCCCCCCCACCTTCTTCTCTTAATTTTTAATTTGTTTTATGTGGGACAGGGAGATGAGCAAGATTGAGAGAGACATGATGTGGAGACATGGTATAAAAGACACAAATAATAAATAAAAAGAAAGTTAAAAAAATATGGCTGGTTCCCACCTGTGGTCAGGATAGACAAAGTTGCCAGATAAATGATGTGTTCTGAGATTACATATGTTCCATCCAGCTCAGAGGTTTCCTTCCACTACTTTAAAACTAGATGTTGGGGCTAGAAAGATAGCTCAACAGCTAAGAGCATTAGCAGCTCTTCCAGAGGACCTGAGTTTAATTCCCACTAACCATCTTAAACTATAGTTCCAGGGGGTCTGACGCCCTCTTCTGGCCTCCACGAGCACTGCATGCACATGGTGCACAGACATGCAAGCAGGCAAAATACCCATATGCATAAAATAAAAATGAAATTTCATCTTAAAAAATGTCTTTTTCTTTCCTTTCTTTATCCCTCACTACACACTCTGCCTTGGTCTCTCCATCTTATTTGAGACATGCTCTTACTATGCAGATTAGGCTTGCTTTGAACTTGTTTTGACCCTCTTGTCTCTGTCTCCCTGAGCTGAGAGTTCAGACATATGCCACTGCTCCAGACCTAAGGCTATTTTCAAGGAGTGTGCTGCCAGGCTGCAGGGTTCAAGGGCAGTGGGAAAGGCTCCCACTGTCCACTTTCTTCCTTGTCCCAGCTCTGCCTTCCCTGGAAGGCTTCTCCTGACCCAGGCCCAGGAAGTCAGCCATGGAGATGAGAAGGTACCCGAAGTCCCCGAGGTGTGGCAAGAACAGGGTGTGGGTGTGGCACCACCCAGGAAACAGCCCTGGCTGAGCTGGGTGCTGCCACTACCACTGAGCCACACCCTGATGCCATATATATACTATCCATGTGTCTGGACCCTGCCCTGGGGTTGCTCTCCTCAGCTTTGATCCAGGGTTGGGATAGCAGGGGTGAAATGGTGAGGGTCCCTGCTCTTCCCTGGCTGCAGAGCTCCCAGTTAGAGCAGTAATTGGATCCGAGCTGTTAGCTCAAGCACTGAATATCCTGGTGAATGAGATGGCCAAGGTAGCTGCCTTCATCCGTGGCTCTGAACTGGTCCTCCACTCTCTTTGTGAAGACACAGGAACTGAAGCCCAGATGGGCACCAGGTACCCTCTCCTCTGCGCAGTCAGTTTCAAGGGAGGAAGGCCACTCACACTCTAGCGTGGGCCCCAAGCAAAGCTGGCCAGAAAGGAAGGAAGCGGCAGCTTATTAACTCCCATCCTCCTGGCTGCGTGCAGACCCAGGAAAGGGCCTCGGCTGAGGCTTCGTGGAAACACACGAGTGAGAAACCCAGAGAGTCCCCTGTGGGGTTGGCTGTGTCACCCTCAGGAGAAACCCAACCCTAGCTCTAACCAAAAGGCCTCAACTTCTCTCCAAGAAACGTGGAGGATGGGGGGGGGAGGGGGTAGAGAAAAAGCTGAAGGTGGAAAAACAGGAGGAGTGGGCAAGCTCCGCGGCCTGGGCCCAGCCCCTTTACTGCCACCACTGGCCGGGTTTTCTTATTTCATGGCTGAAAAGATTTGATTTACACCTGTGCTGAGTCTGAAAAGGCTAGCAGGGAGCTGCCTAGCACAGCAGCCACCTTCACGTGTGCAGGGGATCGGAGGTGGGAAAAGGAGAAATGTCTCAGGGCTTTACTGTATGGGGTCACCTTCAGTTGTCGAATGTTTATTTGTCCATCATATAGATGTGGAAACTGAGGTCCAGAGAGAAAATGTGACCTACAGAGCCCATACAAAGCCAGGAACCAAACTGAACAAAACGGTGGCCTAGTGCCCGGACTGCTGACGGCTCCCTGTGCCCCTCCCCCCATCATCGTGTCCTCCTCAAATCCTCCATTAAGCTCTGCTGTTGGGGCTGCATGTCCCAGAGGAGAACCAGCCTGCAAGCACAGAGGCTGTTGGGATGATGTCTGTAGAGAAATCATTATCTCAGCCAGGGCCCCTCTTTTGCCTTCCAAGTCAAGTCTGTGGTTCAGGCCATCTCTATGATAATTAAGACCAAACTCAAGGCACATTTTTTTGTGATACAGGCTGCACCCTCTATGTCACCTTCCTATTCTGCCTGACTGGACCTGTTCCACAAGCTCACCGTCCCCGACGACGACTCTACTCACCCAGAAGGCATCTTGGAACTGCAGCTGAGCCATCATCCTCAGAAGTCTGTCGTGTCAAACGCTAGCACTCCTGCCTCAAGCAGGGCTTGAATGTGGGCCAGGAGCCAGGAGCCAGGAGCCAGGAGCCAGGAGCCAGGAGCCAGGAGCCAGGAGCCTGTCCCAGTCCTAGCACGACTGGCCCAGGCGCTCCCTCCCGTTTCCAGCCGGCGCCGTCTGCAAGCTCAGAAGGCAGCCACAAGCCAGAGACAACTGCTGGAGGGAGGGAAAAAGGCTCAACCTGTTTTGTTTGGGGCTAGAATCAGCAGCGAAATGAGGAAGGAGCCCTGCCCAGCGATGGGAGGGTGGCTCACAATGTCCAGTTCAGGCCCTGGCCAGCCCGGGTGATGGAGGACACAGACTGAGGCCCAGGGCAGGCAGCCCAGGTGGCAGGCAGAGTGGGAAACAGGCAGGATATGCACAGGCCAGGAAGGGAGGTAGGCAGCCTGAGGCCTGCACAGGAAGATTTGTGCAACCTCCCCCAGGGCTGGTGAGAGGCTCTAACCCACAGGAAGCAGAGCTGCTGCGTCCTCCTGTATAGCCCCGCCTGCCACCTGCCACCCTGCTGCCTGCTGCCTGCCCAGGTCCTGGCCCAGTTTAGCCTTAGAACCATCAAGTTAGGAATCCTGAGGCTGTTGCCCATCTGCTCAAGCCACAGGAGCATAGATTCTTGAGGTCCCACCCAGGTCTAGGCGACCCCCAATTCATTCCAACCTTAGCTGTTCATGCCTTAGACTAGACCCCACCTTTAAGTGGCTCACAGTATAGGGCACAGTCACCTGTGGTCCAGAGGCTATGAAAACACAACCCTGCAATGAGCAGGTAACCAGCTAAGGGAGCTCAGCCTGATGTGGCATGGGTCGTGGTACTTGTGCAAATCTTCACCCATTCTGTCTTTAGTCCATGGCTGTGGGAGACAGAGAGAGGCGGGAGTCTGGAGCCCCAGGCTCTGGCTCAGCTTTTGTTTCCTTTGAGCCCTGCTCTTCAGTAGTTGAAGGACGCTGACTGATCTTCAGAGGCTCAGCCTCCCCATCTGCCACCTCCAGTCTGTAGAAGAGTATCTAGTAATAAGAATACTTCTGTAATTCCTCTTTGTAGGGCAGGTCCCGGAGAACACAATTCCCAGACAGGGTTTGCCCACTCAGCAGAAGAGGTTTCTGGGAGTCTTGAGCTCAGGGTAGGCTGGTGAAAATAGTGAGTCAGGGATTATCCACAAATCACCACCCTCACTGAGGCCTACCTTAGAACCGACTGGATTGATCTCAAGTGCAGGTTACACATGCCAGAGAAAGGAACACCCAGGAAGAAACACAGTGGGCCTGGTGCTGGAAGCCTTTCATGCTAGACTCCTGAGACTTGAGCTAATAAGCATCTTTTAAAAAAGATTTATTTTTTGTTTTCATTTGTATGTATATGTGTGTGTGTCCTATGTGTGTACAGACAGATGCCTGTAGAGGCCGGAAGAGGGCATCAGATCTTCTGGCGCTGGGCTTACATGCTGGGACATGTCTGTGAGAAGGGGAAGCAACCTGGTTTCTCCCCTAAAGGAATTACAGAGTAAAAGACAGGTTCCAGAAAGATCTCTCCTTATGGGTGGAATTAGAAGACAGTATTGTGATGGGGAGGTGGGTGACAAGGAGGAAGGGGGTTTGCCAGGACAATAATTAGCTGGATGGGGCCACCATGGAGGATGAGTGAGCCGGTGAAATATAGAGGAGAAATATAGAGGATTCAGGAAGAATGTAAGAACAGGAAAGACATGCAAGAAGCCTTCAGAAAAAAGGAGCTGTATGTAAACATGGTTCCCTCCCTCACCCAGTCATTACCCACAGCAAACCCAGGCCTTAGGGGGGATTCTGAGCTTGAAAAATCACAGCTCTTTAATCACTGCTTCAAAACATAATTGGCCTTGAAGACTATGCAGCTGTGCCCCAGGCCAACCCAGACTGTTAGACATAGCATTTTGAACATGTATGCTTGAAGACTTCAAGAAGTCATAGGTCCAAAGACTAAAAATAAATCACAAAGTCAGTTGTTACAGCATTGATTGCCACAGTCAACTGACTAGCAGGATTCAGCTCCTAAAGTCACTTTGTCTATTTTTTGAGCCATGTAAAAAAAACAAAAACAATGCAACCAGTAGACATTTGGGGAGTCTCAAACCTGTGCTGCTTTAATTTACTATTTGAAGTTGTACTCGCTTGGGTATGAACATTTGTAGAAGGCATGCTGAAATCTATCAAGTTCAGGAGTTTTCTGCCAGGTAGCAGAGTGGCCTGTGTTCTGCTGAGGATGAGGAAGTTGAGCCAGGCATCTCCTTTGATCATGACCTAACTCCTCAATTTATGGTGGACAGGCAATTCCCAAGGGTGTTTCAAATGGGCAATGATGCACTAGGTACATGGAACAAAAGTATTTCTGTTGAATATGTCATGTGTTGTCTGTCTGGGCCAGGGACAGCCACCATGCCTCACCCTGAGATGCTACTGTGCGTACTCCTAACCCCGACTCTAGAAACCCGCAGCTGGATCCCTGCTGTAGGCAGAAGGAATCTAGGAGGATTGGGGAGAGGAGGGCAGAGGATGGGCACAAGTGAAGCAGTGGGAGGCTACCACACATGGAGCTAGCCCTTGAAGCATTCATCACTGTCACACCAGACTGCTCTTGAAAAATCACACAAAGACCAGCAAGATGGCTCAGCGGGTAAAGATGTGTGCCACCGAGCCTGAGAACCTGAGTTCAAGTCCTAGGACCTATGTGGTAAAAGGAGAAACCCCTCTGTCACGAACCGTCCTGACTTCCACATGTGTTCTGTGGCATGTGCCCACACTCTTCATACACGGCACACACACACACACACACACACACACACACACACACACACACTCACGCACGTGATACATGATTAATTAATTTACCTGAAAACATACATACAAAGATAGTATGATATTATTTGGAATTTCAAGACTGCAGAGTCAGAGCACCAGACTGGACATGCTCATTTCAGAGCATCAGCTCTCTGTGCAGCTGTGTTTATGTATTCATCAGGCTATCCCTGCTCACTGCTGTCTGCTCTCCACATAGCAGAGTAATGCCTTCACATTCAAATCTGACCTCCTCCGGCTTTACTTCTCTATGATGAAGGATGTTGTTCTCAGGTCAGTGGTCATTGTCATTACATAGCCTACAGACTCTGCATGACCTAACCTCAACCTACTCTTCCAAACCTTGCTCACACTATGCCTCTCCTGCACTTTCTTTTAGTTGGTTACCTTGCTTCATTCTCTTCTATCCCAGGCCCCTTTTCTTGACAGGTTCTTCCTCTCCACCCTGGCCTCTGCCTTGGTCCAGCTAACTATTTCTCTTCAGATGTTACTCTTGTCACCTCTTCGGGAAAGCCAAGAGATGGACTGGATAGACAAAATGCAGTCAAGACATATATCAGTGTGAAGGAGTTCAGAGGCTGGAGGAGGGGATACTGTCATGGAGACAACACCCATTGGCGGAGCTGATGTCTAGTCTTTTCCTTGTGATTAAATTTCTGCTGGTGGGTTTGGGGAGGCATACCATATCCAGGAAGCCACTCTTCTCTGTGCATTAGATCAGAGGGCACATGGTGTCAACTCATCTCAACTTGGGGGGAGGGGGCGGGTGTAAACTTTGATCAAGCTGATGAAGGTGATGTCTATCAGTTTTTTTTTTTTTTTTTTTTTTTTTTAACCACAAAGTTTTACTCTATCCTTTTTGGTTAAAAAGTATCTTGGAGAAAGAGTATTTGAAGCTAATATGCAGATATTATTCCTCAGGACAGTTTCTTCTGCACAAGATGGTAATTTTTCTAATTCCATCATTCCATCTGCATTTGTGATTGGGCAAGGAAAACTATCCTTTTCATTCTACTTATTCATTTACCTATATTAGTGTAGACTCAGGAATTTCTGTTTCCTTTGGTGGGTTTTCGTGTGTGTGTGTATGTGTGTGTTCTGTGCGGGTATGGAGGTTCATGAGTGTGTGCATGTGTATGGAGGTCAGAGGTCGACATTAGGCATTTTCCTCAATAACTCCCCATCATATATTTTGAGACAGGGTCTCACTGAACTTGAAGCTCATTAACTAGCTGGACTAGCTGGCCAATGAGCCCAGGTATCTGCCTGTCTCTGTACTCCCTGCTGCCCCACACAGGACTACAGACATGTATAGGAGCTGAGAATCTAAACTCACATTCCCATGCTTGCATGACAGGTGCTGTTGCCAGCCGAGGCTCCTCCCATTCCCCACTCAGTGAGTGCCACTGCTACTACTGTTTGTTGTGGTGCACATTTTTTTTTTTTCCAGATTTGGCCATCATGAGGCCTACAGTGTGACTTCTATTTCTCTCTGATCTGGTCCCATTGTTTATTTTCTGTATCAAGATGTTTCTGGTCTATCTTGTAAAGTGGCTATGCCCTTCACTGAGGACCAAGCCTTGTTTCTTTCCTGGCTAAGTCTAGAACTTCTGCTCCTAAGCCACCAACTGTTGCTTTTTGTCTCCACAGCTGTTCGGAGTATACTCTGAGGACAGAGCCAAGGGTTTGTGTGAGAAGATGACCGGAGAATCTTTAAACTATTCCTCACACCAAGCCCCTGTGAGGTCCATGGTTTGCAGAATTCAGAAAGGAATGATGCCTATTGCATTTCATTATTGATAATAATACATTTACATCTGTTTGCTGACATGGAAGAAGGACAGGTCATGTGGGCACCATGCCAGCTGAACCCAGACTTCAAGGGAAGGATGGGCATCTGTGCATCTGCAAGGCACTGGCGTCCCTGAGGCCAGAGGGTCCTTCTTACAAGGATTCAGCCCATGTCTCTTTTTTTAGGGTTCCCTCCCTATGCCCTGACTGCAAAGCCTTATGGCTAAATCACACAGAAATAGTGGAAGAAGGGAAATTATGTTCCTTTCCTTAAATAGAACTAAATCATGATGCCACTGTGACCCAGCAGAGAGTATTTTACGAGAAGAGCTTGAGCAGGAGTAGGGGAGGGAAGTGGTGAGCACAGGCATTTCAAAACCACCAGGCTAGAAAACCAGGAAGCACCTGATGGGGAACTTCTTTGCTACAAGGCATGGGTACTCCCAACACTGCCCACCCTTCACAAACATCATGCCTTGCCCAGACATCACCTGCTCCCAATACTGCCAGTGCTGCTCCTACAGAACCCAGTCTGTGACATCAGGGTATCTAGCCACGCGGATGAACAAGGTCTGGAAATCAGATCCTACTCCTTAAGTCACCTGAGAGAATTTCAACTGCTAGAGCAAGTGTCACTTTCTGGTCTTTGATGAGGCCCGGTGTGAGGAGTCCCAGCCTGATTTGCCACCTCTGTGCTCCCATGTCCCCAAGGCCATGGTCCATGGTCATTCTCTTTAAACAAGTCACTTCTGCCACCTCTATGTTGCCCTGTCCCCTGCAT